AAAAGCGTCTTTTCTGTAAAACGTGCAACTTTTGGAAGTGGGAACAAGGCAATATTTGTTACTAAATTTCTAAGGAACTTTTTAAAATCATTTTCAGGTAGTTACCTGATGTGCGCTACGAAACTGAAAGATAAATGGCCTCGGCTCGCGGCCTAATGGTAAACCTACCGAGAGATTTCACAGCTTTGTACCAATCGTTGATCGCACGGCTTGCGGGATATCGGCTGTACTGAAAGAACTGTTACAGCCTTACAACGCGAAGTCAAAATTGATAGCTCAAACTTATGACGGCGCGGCAGTTATGAGTGGGTCGAAACATGGTGTTCAAGTTTATATAAAAAAAGATTTTTCTCGGGGTCGATTGATAGATGTTTTGAAGTTCATTGGTTGTCACGAGCTGTCCCTCCGTGGGCACGATGAACGGGCTGGCTCTTCTAATAGAGGGGTATTTTTGGATATGGTGGAATACACCGCATCCCTAGATACAGTATTGAGAGATCATCTTGATGCCGCAACTGTTTCGAAAGGGACATCTAAGAATATCCAAAATTATTTGCTCGACTCAATGTATAAAATTTATTTACAACATTTGGCTCTGGAAATTGAGAATTGCTAGTTTCTTTCGATTCAGTCTGACGAGACAACTGACATCACTTGCGTTTCCCAACTGGCTGTGATTTTTCGGTTTGTGAAAGATGGTAAACCTACCTAGAGATTTCACAGCTTTGTACCAATCGTTGACCGCACGGCTTGCGGGAGATCGGCTGTACTGAAAGAAGTGTTACAGCCTTACAACGCGAAGTCAAAATTTATATAAAAGAAGATTTTCCTCATGCGCATTTTTTACATTGTTATGCACACCAATTTAACCTCGTTATTAAAAATATGTATCTTGATACCCCTCTCGTCCGTATATTTTTTGCAAATGTTTCGGGGTTTTCTTCATTTTTTTCCGTTTCGCCGAAGCGCTCTGACCTCCTTCGCCAGATATGTAGCCGCCGTCTCCCAGCTTGTGCACCAACACGTTGGAACTTCCAATCACGCGTGGTGCAGGGCGTGTCCGAAATTAGGTCTGAGCTCATTGAGTGTTTCAATGGCATTCAGAGCTCTCCGGTTTGGGACGAACGCTCTGTGAGGGAGGCGGCAGGTCTAAAGCGTCTGCTAGAAGATGGTGAGTTTTCATTTTTTCTCGCTTTTTTCTCCACAATATTCTATCACGTGGATGTATTATACGGCGCATTGCAGTCAAGGCTAATGGATGGAGCGTCTGTGCAGTCGTGTATTTCAGACTTCTGCGATGCTGTATCTCGTATCCGGGAAACAATAAAATACGACGACACATGGAGTGCTTCTTTACGCCGCGGGCAAACAACGCAGCGTTTGATTTTGTCTGCAAAGAAATGCTGTGACATTCTGGTGAATTAAATAGGCGATCGTCTGCGCAATGAACATCTTGCCGCGTTCTCTTTGATGAACCCCAAAAATTTTTCAAAATTTGCACGTCAATTTCCCATCCATTTGTTGGCTACTGTCTCCAAATTTTACCCCATGATAAACGTGGGTAAATTGGAAAATGAATTGCGATGTATATACACCAATCAAACTTTTTTGAACATCACATCAACTTGCGCGCTCTATGGGTTCCTCATAGATAACACTCTAGTAACTACCTTTGCGGCGTCTGCAAAATTTATGGACATCATTTTGACGACGCCTATTTCTTCCGCCGACGCAGAGCGAACATTCAGCACGCTGAAGCGTATTAAAACGTATCTCAGAAACACAATAAAGCAAGATAGATTAAATTCCTTGGCTGTTTTATCCATTCACAGAGACGTTATTTCTGGGATGCATGACTTTAATCAGCGCGTCATTGAGCATTTTGCTTCCAAGAAACCGCGGCGTGTTGCATATATGTTCAAGCAGTAGAAGTCTAGCAGCATATATATCTATGAGTGAGCGACGCATGTCCTTATCTTTGCATTAACTTTCCTTTCTTCATAGTAACGTTTTAAACCTTATTTTAGGTTTTGTCTGCTTTCCCGAAGTTTCTGTTAATATGTCATTGTATTTATCTGGGTAAATATTGCCTTTCCTTTTGAAAGAGGTTTCAAAATAAACTATGTCTATATTTATTAATCCCTTGACTTAGACCAGTTTTAAAGACACTTTCTTATCGTTAAAAATTGTCGCTTTTGCCGATTGGTTGTTACCGATGGAATGGTTTTTATACTCATGAAATGATGGGAGAACTTACAGCGCTCATCCTGTCCCCGTAGATGGGAGTGACTTGGTCCCGCAGTAGCTTGCCCCGGTTGTCAAAATGACTACGCGCCGCCACTGCTTGAAAGTATCCAAGGTCGCAACGCAAAAATGGTTGGGAACCGGTGCTTTAGAATATGTTCCAAACGACCTTCCTTGATGTTATTTATCGTTGGGTTAAATTATCATGCATTGGAATAGCTATAGTTGAAATACAGTTTAGGGGAAAGTGGGGAAGGTTGGGACACTTTTTTTCTTTTGCATATTTTGAGCCGTTAATTCTGCATATTCACTTAAGCTGGCGGGACTAATACATAGAGGGGGTAGTTGTAGCTTTTATTCAACGACTAAGAAATTTCCTTGCGGCACACATCTTACTACCAAAATGGTTTGAAAAACGTCTGTCAAGTGTCCCACTGTACCCCACTTGTGGGGCAAATTCGGACAGACCCTGGGGCACAATGGGTCAGTCTGTCAAAATTCAAGTATGCCCTTAAAAATAAGCAGTTAACCAGCATAATCGTCTAAAGAACAGGGAGACTGCAAATTTGAAGATTTAATATTCTTAAAATCAATGTTCAACTGAAATAGTTCAGATATTTTGACAAATAATTTCGCAAACAAATTTGATTATTTCCTTCCTCGAATCTAAATCTGGAAATATTATTGATTCTCGAATATATTCCATATTGGGCCATGGCTCGAAAGAAACCATATTATTACACAAAATATAACGCATCTCTAGGTCTCTAAGCACTTATTGTATCAAACACTCTCGAATTGTGCCCTGTAGTGCATGTCCCACTGAACCCCGGTCCATTGTTCCCCATAGGAAACAAATATTTTCAGACCATCCCACGGCGAAATTCGGAAGGCACATCCACTCGCCAACGTTATGAATATTTTACAGTGGAGTAAAGCTGAAAAATATCAGACGGTGGTTTGTCATGTTGGAAATGCTAAAGTAGAAAAAAGAAAAAAATGGATTGGTGAAATTTTAGTTTCAACCTCCCAAAACCAATTTCACCTCATAGCTTGCGCCGCTCTACCCGTCCGTTGTCCGTTCGCGGGGACGTTGTAACTCACCGAAGGGCGGATTGAAACTTCGAACCGCGGACAGGATTGCGGAATGCGGATATAGTACGAGTGTGAAAGCTGATTTTCCACTGTGCCCCATGTCCCAACGTGCCCCACCTTCCCCTACTTTTACTTTCTGACCAGAATTTGATTCACGTTTAATAGGCTACTTTAGATTTCAAAAAATCCAACATATACATATATATATATATATATATATACCTAATGCAAAAGCAAATAATAAAACTGCATCCATTGAATAGAGCCACATTAAATATGATGACATATTAACACAGATGCTGTGTTGTTCAAAATGTGCTTTATTTTACATTTCTGATATCCCGAATATGTTTTTCAGTGTGAATGTAAGCAAATGTGATGTAACAAAATGCGAGGCCGCAAACCTATCCTCATCTCCGAATATCGGACTACTACCAAATTGATTACTATATAAATATATATATATAGTATAGAATTTATTTTATTAAATATTCAAAAATTTTCAACGATTTTCCGCCACTCATTCCACCGGTCTAGATGTCGCCTTCCTAAGTTAAAATACCGCTGACACACATGCAGGGGCGTGCAAAACTTTTCTGCTGCCCGGACGAGTTTCTGATAATGATGCCTCTTATACTATAGGTAACTTCAAGGAAAATTCGGGGTATGATCAAATTATAGATGTTTTGTATATTGAGAGCGTGCTGCCCCAGTGTCGTAAGCATGCCCTTGCTCATATGACATGCGCGAACCTCGCCTAACAAAGCGCACATTTTAATTAATGTACCGGATAATTAACAAATACTTATCAACTGAATCATTAACAAATATTTAAAGCCACGAGTGTGAAAACGGAGTGATGACTGGAGGTAGGTCATCGGTGTGATCATACATACGCACAAATGTGGAAAGTTGGTATAACTTAGTTTGAAAGTTTTACAGCCGATTGTGAAGCGTATTCAAGCCATCCGGTAACGATTCAGCCGCTGATATATGAAATCATTTATACAAAATCTAAACTAGTGATCACTGATCGCCGAACTGCTGCTCGTGAACAAATGTTTTGTGGCCATACAACGACCTCAAACCTGCACAAAACAAAAATTGCTCATAAATTTATCACCTGTGTCTGTGCACTTTAATGATACGTGCGAATGTAGATGAATACCAGCCACAGATCCCTGCATGAATAAATGATGGTATAATTTACTGAATGAGCGACCAAGGCAACGATATTTATATGGCAATGGGAGAAAGCGTATGCGGTCATCTAATTCTAACTGTCTACGACGTATACAAGCGCTGTTTGTCGCAGTTAAAAATTTAACCACGTTATATCTAAAGAATTAGGTAATACGGTACGAGAAAAGGGTTTTCCCACTCTGAATAAATATATCATGATCATCTATTTTTTTTTATCAGTCCAAGTACATGTTGAATGTTCTACTCTGAGAAAAAGTATTAACTACATCGTTTCCCATGTGCCTGATATAGTTTTACAGAATTTGAACGCATGGTGCATGCAAATTCCCCAAACTAAAATTTTGCATAAAATAAATGGGTCAGTGGTAAGATGTTTCTCGTTACTGAAGGCTGAAAGGTATCTCAGATGAAAATCTTCTACTGCTTCCTAATTCCATACAAAATGCTGATACCATAGATTTAAAATAAAACGTTGTAATTTGCAAAAAAACAGTAAGTATGATAATAACTTTAAGTTAACATATCTTCATGTACGATGAGTCTGTGACCTATTTAAAATGGCCTAATAGCAGTGCATGGAAAATTAAGACTATGTTAGATGACTACTATATTCTATAACAGAATTGAAACAGAGGTTCGTGTTTCCCACTTTTACAGACAGACAAAAATGTTCAGAGACCCTGCACATTTGAAGGGAAAGATTATCAATAAATTGAACCGAATCCCATATCCCCATTGTATGTTAAAATTTCAAAATAGTATCAATAGCTGATAAGAATGAACATAATAACATCCAGAGCACATAATATTAGTTAGACATGTACAAACTTTGTGACGACTGTAAACATGGTAAAAAGAAAGTGATTTGGGCCTAATTCAATATTGCTTTATGATGTAGTTACCAGGAGCAAACATAAACCAGGTTTGAGCAGCAAGCAAACTCCTATGTTGTCTCAGTGGCTCACCCTATCTAATATCCAGGTTTGGCCAGACATTGAAGAGCAAGTTACTTGTGCAGCATACAAACTACAACATCCAATAATATTTTAATAAACAAACCAATGTCAAATAGATAAAAATATAACTTAAAATAAAAAGTATACCTTAAAATAACAGAATAAGCTAAGCATAGAATGATATTGTTCTTTGTGATTACTTAACATACAAAAATACTCTGATAAGTAAAACTGGAACCACCTGCAAAAAACTTGCATTCAAAGAACAATACTGATAAATACATAAGTAGTTGCAAAGGACGGCTAATTGCAATAAGCATTTTACAGAATAATATGTTGACCAATATAAGCAACAATGATGCACAGAGTTGCGCAATTAAAAAATGTTTGATTTATTAAAAGACGACCCAATGTGAACATTGAACGCTTACCGTCTCACCAACTGAACAAACAATACATTAAGTAAAGCACTTTTTGTCTAAAATAATAATTGTTTCAAGGGTGTACCATATATATCCAGGATGCCACAATAACTAGCCAAACTAAATAGAGACTTCTCAATACACCAAGCAAATGCATGTGTGAATGACAGGCACCCTACATGTGTGAAATACTGAAGCAAACAAAGTACAATTCTTTACTTATGGAAATATGACTGAATAAAGCATTTATGACAGATAATACGTAATCTTTAACTTTTTATTGTTCTCTCTTTGATGATATGATGTCATTGTTAAACCAACCTAACAGCCATATTACACATCTACCTTAACACTTTTCACTCCAGGTATCGCATTTTATTTGGATCTGTTTGCATTTTTGGCATTCAGCCCATTTTTGCTGTTAGTTGTTATTTTGAAGCAATATAGCAGAAGAATGATGGAAATATATTAAACACTAATTTTCATTGATGTTGTAATTGCATTCTTTGAGTTCGATATCCCAGCAGTACCATTGCTGCAAAAAAAGAATCATATTATAGGGTTGTTATATATTTACTGAACACGGCGGTATTAAATAAAAATTTTCACCTTTCAGTGCTAGGTAAAAATAGTTACAATTCATGATTGAAATATTGCCTTACGACATTTAGAATTGAACAATCATTCATTGATTGCAAAGACTATGAATCAAATTGAAATATTGAAATCAACATATTTCATACCTATCCATAATGATTTTTAATCACAATGGTTTGAGACTGATAATAAAAAGAACCCATATCGTATCACAATATATCAACAGCACAAAATAATCGCAAAGATCTAACTATATTATATGCATAATGAACAAATCTAAAATGATGGTTATACAGGTATTCATACAATAAATTTACTCTAGTATAACAACGATAATTGGCAACCTTGGGAAATGATTTAGAGTCAAAGTTGAGAAGTATTCATTATGAGTGATTACGATCTTTTCATCAAAAGAGAAATTCAATAAACTACAGATTTTACCTTCTTGTTGCTTGGCGTTCCCAACCTGGAGACTCAAGCTGAGAAACATTTGATTTTGACACTTTCTGTGAAGACGGACTTTCCCGTACAAAATTTCGGCAAGATGAAAGCTTTGTTTCAAGTGCCTGAAAATGAAGTGACATTTGGATACAATATGAAAAGAACGCCCTTTGACTCAATAAAGGAATCAGTAACTCAAGATAGAAACTGATTAAACTCTAAAAGCAAAAGGCATAATGATGGTAGCATCATTTTAGGTTACATTTTCTAATTTGGTAGCCGTCAAAACATAAAAAAAATTCCGGGAAAAATATTTCTAACATAATGTCAGCATCAATAATTTTTCATCCAAGCGGCTGGTTGTTTTAGTAAATAAAAGAGACAAATCAGAATATATTCTCTAAAAACACATGCCAAGTACATCCATATTCAGTGCACTTACACCAACTTTCCTCAGTAATTCACCCACGATATTTAATGCTGAAACACGAGCAGATGGAGTTAGAGGAGCAGGTTTAGGCGTTGAACTTTGAGGTAGAATTCCTAAAAATAAAAATAATTCAAAGAATAGAATATACACTGATCATATAACAGCAAATCACCATGAATTGAAATAGCATGCTTATTTTCAAGTTGTTAATTAGCAACAACAGAAGATTGTTCATAATTCTCAAGCACTATGCAAACCTCAATAATGATAAAAAACAAACTTTTTTGCAAATAAGTTTCAATGATGTTTCAATTCCAAAATTTGAAATAAAAATAAGGAAGATGAAGAATAATTATAATTTATGAAACATAGTATACCGTCGAACTATCTTGTTTCAGACAATAATCTAATATTTGAAACAAATTACGAAAAAAAATTTCTAGCATACTAAACTAATCTATTATTAGCAGAGAGTGACCAGAGACACCGGTAAATATTTCTATAATTTTTGCAGTGTTTAGAAATTACTTTATAAAAGAAATTGTTTTATTAGTAGAAGCAGTATGTGGATGAAGAAAAGAATCTACGTTTATAGAGATGCGTACTAAGTTTTATGACGATCGACGATGTCATCTTCCCATTGCTCGACTGGGCAAATCGGCCCTTTCTTGAAATGAAGGGTGTCATTCTTCGGTGCAAAAGCAGCACCAATGAACAATGCAAGAATGTACATCGTGAGCTCGTTTACTCCACCCACGTACTGTAATATGATAGATCAACAGATAGGAGGCTTGGCAAAAAGTCATGCACAAAATGTCATCGTAACAAAGTTATTAAAACACATAGGCCTACAGGTGCTACTCCAAAAAAAAATTCTTCATACTTGGACAACAATACTTGGCAACATCTGGTAGAATGAACTTTGAAAATAGATGACTTAAAGGCGGAATATTGAGCAAAAATATGCAAATATAAATCGATATAACAAAAATCTAGCATATATACATATCGACACCTCAAAACCAAACAGTGCTAAGTCCACTTTTCCAAAAAATGACATTTTTCAATTGCTGATTTTCCTGGACTTAGCTCTATATTTTGGTCTATTTGCCTTATCTCTAGGTGCTCTAGATCTCAAGACAGCTATGGACATAACCCTGCCTTTTCTAGAACATTTGAGAACTAAAATGAGCTGTGTCTACTATAGTGGACTTATCTCTGGATAACTGCATTGTAAGTTGGGGCTAAGTCCGTTTTTTGGACATAGCTCCTATAAAAAAATATAATACCAAGCGCTAAGTCCATACCAGACTCTATAATAACCAAATAAAGGGGCCCTAAGTCCAATAAAATTGTTTCTGGTCCAGAAAATTTAGAGCCAAAAAGGGTTAAGTCCAAAACCCCCCCCCCCAAAAAAAATTGGGGCAGAGCACAAATTTTTTTATACCATCTAAATATGGCCTTCATTGTAACTTTGGTAGACCATAAAAACTAGACATCGTCGATGTAAGGTATTAGAGAAATAAAAAAAAGGAACAAAAAAAAAACGTTTTTTGCGTTTTTCTCAAAACTAGAAAAATGGACTTAGCCCAATTTGGATTTCATGCGTCGATATATAACATAGCCCCATCATAATCACCTATCATAATAATAAGCACTTCAGCGAAAACATCAACTATACGAGACACTCAAAAACCACTTGGGTTATACAGTCAGTAACTGAACCAACAGAGAGAATGCCACAAATTTAATTTCACTGAGATTCAACGTATACTTGGTATAGCACTGAACAGAATAGATGCCTATATCTGCTGCATTCTGCTTTATGCTACAACTTACAAAATATGATTTCCTCATTTAAAATCAAAGTTTGACGATTATGTTACCAAAGGTTTATTTGTTGGATAATGACAAATTAATAAAGGACGTTTCATTACCCCTTATCGACAGTCAGGAAAATCTATCAATCATGCTAGATACTACAAATCGAATTATGTACAAAATATAAAAATATGCGCCTGCCACATAGCTTGTAGGAATTTATCTTTGAAGTAGCACCATGAAATATAAAAATTGAGACAAGCCAGGCCATAAATCATTTCTTGTAATCATGCATTCCAAGTAAGAGCATTCAAATATTTACCAATACCGTAAAGCAATCATTTTTAGATTTGTGAAAGGGGGAAAACAAATTGAATTAAATTATCTATAAACAATGTCAAAAAAGTAGGATAAAAGTACATGCTCATGCATGTGAAATCGTCATATATTCCAGAAATTTTCCTTTCAATTAACAACGCAACAGTAATCCTACCGATTAATATATTTAGTGACTTTTGATCATTTTTATTTAACTTTAACCAATTCAATCTACCTTGTTTGCACTATTTACCAAATATCACACACCACAAATAGATTTATTTACCTGAGTCTCTGATAATTCTACTTACAACCCACCACTCACAACTTTCCAGGCACCAATCTATTAGGAATACTAAGCCCTACCTACACCATACACCCTAACATAGAATTACCCATCTACAATGCAAATCAACATTCATTACCATTCTGTTCTCTTGTTGGTGTTGAAGGTTGTGAAATAGTATTTGTTCTTGCAATTGCTGGCGAGGACCCACTTGGTTGACGTGCGAGTGCTGGTAATGCTGATGGCTTACTCGGTGTGCTCTGTGTAGAAAATTAAGTTGTTATTAAATAAAAGTGGATCAATGCAATTTGAGAAAGATTTTGTATAACAAACTATTATGAAAAACAGATTCTAACTTCGATTTCTAAGGATGTAAAGAAAACTGAGCAGAGGCATCCATATTATTAATTTAGAATACATATTTCGCAATAACTGTAATTATTATGCAATTGGATACACATACACAACAAAAATCTGATAGTTAGATAAGGCTGCAATTCTCTTGTTCCTCAGTACGCCTATTAGGTTCATAATCATCTGCTGGCATTGCCAAATCTGATTTGATGTAAATAAAAGCTCCTTGCCCCCTACTGTCCAAGTAATAAAGCAAATAGCAAAATAATCTTGATAACAATGGGGAAAGGATTTATTACTGAATTAGAAAATTAATAAATATACTTGAATTAATTTGGTGTCATTGTGTTCTGTTGGAACATCTTTTCTTTGTCTTACAGCGAGTTCTTGGCTTAGATCTAAAAGAAATAAATATGCATATTAAGGAAGCCATATATCTACCTAAATAAGGACTTATATTTTTTGATAGAATATTTGATATAGATATGATATCATATCACCTTTTCCAAAAAATGTTCTATCAAGGAAGGACCACAGAAAGACCACCATGAGGACTGGTTTAATATATTATGAATCCTGAAACAAGTATGATTACGATATACTTTTACTGAAACACTATTCTGGAAATGTCCTGAATTTATCCTGAATTTAATCAATAAATAATGACGTTTGTTATGCTGTATAAGTGTATAGCATTCTAAAATGCATCATTTAATACATCTGTGAGGACCAACACAATATATGGTATCGATAAATTCCCTTTGCAATTTCAAAAAATTTTAAAATTTTATGAACACCCTATACATATAGATCACCGTAAATTGCTATTATATAAGAAAATTCACCATTGTATAGAAAAACCATACTTTCGACCAAATATATACAATGCAATAATATGAGGGAAATAATGACCAAATGATGGATCCATTTATATATACAAAGTGAATTGAAAGTAGATCAGAAATAGCCTCAGGGTTAACATGATGTAGTTCATGAGTTTAATGAGGCACTTGCTGATTCACACCTAATAAGTGTAGAGTAGCTATCAGCACTTTGAATAAAGAATAGCTCACAACAAATAAGTGAACATGAAACTGCAAAAAATTAATACTTTCGAAGTATATATATACCAAGTAAATAACCATAAACAATACACACCTCTTGCTTCATCTCTCAAACGTTGAACCGTCACAGCTAATGCTTCTTTTTCATCTAATTCACTTTCCAGAAAAGCGTTCCGCTCCAGTGCATGATTAAGCCGTTGTTCAAAATCTTCTAACGATACAATAGTTGCTCTAGAATAGAAGTGATAAAAAGAGGTTTTTATTTAGACAACGCCCTTTTAAGTGCTACCCAGCAACCACATTGGCCCGTGAAAAGTATTCTAATTTTTTCCATATTTTACTGAGCTATGTATCCCCTAGCACAATGGATCTTAAACTTTCGGCGTGACGGAGCCCGTGTAGACTATTATTTACGGAGCTCCACAATAAATTTTGATTCAAATTACTTTATTTAATTAATGACTCGGATGTATTTACAGTTGTTAGATTTTATTAATGCCATTAATATTATTGCTTCTTTGAACAGTTAGTTAGTTTGAAAAATTAGCCAAGTCAGTATTTTAATAAGTAAATGAATAGCTCACGGAGCTATGTTTTTGAAAGGTCAACACTCAATATTATTTCTAAGAATTTTGATGTAATACAACTTCACTTCTTAGAATGAGATTTGTCTTACCTTTTGGTTCTTTCTAAATCATCGTTGGCTTGTTCTAATTCTCGAATATATTTAATATTTTCTGCTTTTAATGCTGTTTCCATAGCAAGTGCACTTTCCAAGTCAGTTATTTGGCGATGACTTTCTGCTTGGTGCATTTCTAGTTTTTCCTGTTTTGAGAAAATGTTTGCAAGGAAATTTGTAAAAAGCATATTTGATATATATTATGTAATATGTAAGAAGCATAATATACACTATGATAATTATTAATTTATAATAAACGTACCAAACCAATACAATTGCTTAGCGAGGAAGTCCAGAAAAATAACTGTAATCACAATATAGGAATAATATTGAAAAAGCTAATTAATTACTTTCAATGATTCACATTCAAGATTTAATTTCATATTTTTCTGTCTCATATCTTTTAATTCTTTTTCATTCATTTCATTCATGGCTTCAAGTTCTTTTTCTAGTTCCTTGCTTGACTCTGTAAATTCTGCCATTTCATCTTGAACTTCTCCTACACTGAAGATATAAAAAATGATAATACTTGAATTCTATAATGAATAAAAATGTTTATCCAAAAATATTTTCAGATATTTATTTTGTTTAAAGTACTTTATTATAACATGACATATGTATATATAAATATACTGCTGGTATTGCAACAGGCCTACTTAAAATGCAGTGGTTCGATATACACATTGTCTTTTCACCAGACAAACCATTAGATTTTGATGTAGCTAAGATTTCAGAACTCCATAAAACTTACATCTTTTTATATTGATGAGCCTGATTTTTCCAATATTGTAATTCCTGTTCAGGGTCAGTAAAATTTGTTTTAAATTCCTCGCAATCCGACATTATGCCGTTGTTAACTTTCATTAAAATATTAGAAAATGTTTTCTATTATGAATATATAATTTTAATAACAATACACCTGCAAGATATGAATAAAAGGCAAATATTTAAAAAAATTGTCATTTTAACTAAACAGCTAAAGACCAGGCGATCAAAATGTTATGCAATTGGCAATTGCCCATATTTCAAACAGTCTAATCCCCAATAATTACAATCATGCTGAAATCATAGCAAAAATACTTCTTTATTTAGCATCCTCAAAATCCACTTGGCAAATTCTAATAGTTTATGTTGTTGACTTGTTGATAGTGTCAAATACTAAGTTATATATACACACTTGCACAGCAACATTCTTGACAAGATGCTAGTGATTTAGGATAAGACAAATTGAACACAGAATCAAAATAACGATCAGATTTACTCTAATACTTTAGTCCAACAGAAGGATATATCCGTAGTACTAAGCTTGTTATAAAAAAAAAAGGCTTCAATAGTCTAAATATATATTCACTCAATACTAATAAGCATTAGACAGAAGCATCAAACTATAAACTAATCAATAACAGGCTGAATTGATTGAAATAAAAACGGAAGCCTAATTAGGCTTCTAGTCGTGATCAGTCTTGGACTGATGAACATCTATATCATGTAGTAAATATTGATTACACCTACCATACTTATAAAAATAAGATAGAACATTTCAACAGAACGAATAGTCACTTATAGGCAACAATTCTATATGTTAGGCATTAATCAACTTAATTAACATTAGCCTTAGCTGATTCACTGTTACAATAATAGGCATATAAAAGTTTTTAAACAGCAGTTAACCAAATGACAGAATGTACCCAATGAAATGACCAATTTTGCCCAATGTGTTATACCATGAGTGCCATTTTGATAGCAAAAAAATCAATGAATATTTTTGCATGCATTATGCAACAACAAAGTGTAAAATCAGACATAAATATTTCAGTATTGTCTACAATGCCTTTTCTATCATTTTGTATGAATAATCAAATATATTGCAATAACAGCACCACATATTCAAAAATAATATTATTAACAGCGTCAGCATTGATCTTAATAGAATGCAAGAGTTGAATGATTTATGTAGGCCTATAGAATATCTTATAATGAAAGTATAGAGCTGTTAAATGGATACTTTATTAACAAATTTAGCAACCGACGAGTTTTTGAACCGTTTTCATCAGATGTAACAAATATCCACAATGAATATTTTCACAAGACGTTCTTATTTTTCTGAGAGTCGTAATCAATATGGAAGTTCATTATTAATAATACTAAATGGTTACAAAATCAGCGTTCTATACCTGTACCATTTTAAGCATTTCACTATACTATACCGATGTGCCTATCCCTATTACAGCTACAATGGACAAAAGATGACCTGACCCCATGGCTAGCATTTGTTTTCCTATTGTTCAAATCTGCCTTGGAATGTATTGATGCTACATGTCCACATGCTATTTGACATGAGGTCAAATTCAACTAAAATGATTCAACTAAAAATGGGGAGTAGCTCTTTTCAAACATTTGTATATATTGTGAAAAATTTATTGTGAAAAACAGAAATTGCTGCTTCCATTAGTAGTTAAAGATGATTCATGTACCAAACATTTGCTTTATGATATTGGCTGAGTCTACAATCACAAAAATAACGGATATATTATCCCAAGACTAGGAAAACCTGGTTTTTATGTCCATACAGTCTATCTCTTTTTTATTTAATATACAATCATATTGTAGTATTCCAAACAGAAGATGAATATCTTTATAACAGAAGCTTAATAAGCCAGAATAATCCACTTAAAAGATTACTAAATCATGTTTGAACTATGGCAGTATTCTTCTGAAGTGGCCTTTCACTAAAACATGGAAATTAACAGATCCAAACTTTTCACGATAAGAAATAATAGTAAACAGAAACTCTTCATAAAGTAGGCAAGGCATATATGCCTTATTATTAATAAAGCTAAAATATGAATTTCGACAAATATATTTTTTATTCCTCTAATCAACTGACAAGAGCTGCTGTATACAGCCTTTGTTGGAATATGAACTTTAAACATTAAATTGCTCCTTACATCGTATTCCAGCCTAAGGGTAAATAGTACTTTGATGACGTTTTGAAAAAATATTTGTGGAATGCTTAGGTGCGCCTCGTATTTGTTAGCAAATTAACCCGTCTGTTATGTACTTATACATACTTAAAGCCAAGGGTCGCTTTTGAAAGAACCTCATAGTTCATTATTAGCAATATCTGAATATAATAGAAAATACATATAACTAGACATGCATGCAAGAAAAAAAGTATCAAGATAATCCAAAGATGACATTATTATATAATAAGTTATATAACGTTAAATAATGTGCAGTAAATTTACTAATGATAAACATTTAACAGTTCTGGCACAAATTTAAAAAACTAATATTAAATGACTATATTGTATCATGTAAAGATTAAGTCATTTATACATGTGAAATACTTGGGAGTTCCTCTCTATTTATAAGCAACACATCTTCTCTCAACTTTCAAAAGTTGAAGAAATAGTCAACTGAAAAGTCAAATATTACCAATAGCATTGGCAACTCAGTTTTGAGACCCACTGGGCATCATACATAGCGAAACAAAATACTTAAATTAGTAAGATCATTATTCCTCTCTATAACTTGCTTTACTGTTATTGGGCCTAGTAAGTTATTAAGACTACAGTTATGTATTAAATCATTACCGGTACTTTAATTTTAGAACTAGAAAAAAAGAGCATCATCTGTTATATAGCCTAGCCTATTCAATATTGTGAATTCATTTCATTTGACAATCAATACATGACCAATAATAAAAGTGATCGAAATAATATTCAAAGTTAGTTGAGCAATCTTATAAGAACTAATTAACTTCTATCAAAAGTATACACATAGTGAATTATCCTATTATAAAATAAAATAGTGGATCATAGACATGCCACTAGAGCAGAAGTGGGCAACTTCTCTAGTCGGCGGGCCAGATGTGGGAAAATGAAGTTCTCGGCGGGCCGGATTATAACATGAATAGTATTCAATATCTTAATCACATATTTAGTCGCTAATGCAAGAAAGAAAATTATAAATTTTGTTTAAAGTAAAGTTTAAACTACAAAAAAATACAGACCAAAAAATTTATCATAATGTACTAAAAGTGAAATAATGTAATATCATAATGTACTGATGTACAGCCTGCGGGGCAGTCAAAATCTCGTCGCGGGCCGGACGCCGGCTGCATGTTGCAAATACAAAAAATTGATAATAACCTACCGGTAAATCTAAAAATCAATAGCCAATTACAAGTTAAAAAGAATAGATAAACAATGCAGAAATGACAAAATAGAACAACTTTTGATTAGCAACATCTAGTGAGTGCCAGCATGATTAAAGTATTTTTCTGACATGTAGGCCGGCCTATCCCAAAGGGTACACCGCAGCGACTTGCTGAGTCTAAGAGCGCCCCAAAAATTAACAAAATTGTATTATTAAGCATACGGTAACTAATATATGATTGAATATTTTACATATTGCTTTGTATTCATTATAAATGCTTTGTTTTTTATTTTAAATGCTGTGTATATAAATCAGAAATTCATTTTACCTTTCTATGTCGTTTACTATATATAACTTGGCGTCTGCCTTTATTGTTACGTAAGAATAGACTAGACATAGACACTACTTGCAGGTATTTTTCGAACTGCAGTTTATTTATCTTTTGAACCTGATTTAGCCGACATGAGTGATTCTTTCGTGTAAGCACCGTGATTTTATTTCCCTGATAATTTGGCACCAAACCAAAAAAAAGTTTGGGAACCGCTGATGTAGGCTATATAGCTTGGCGTCATTATTGATGTGCATTATATATCTTTTTACCTTTAGAATTCAAATTTTCTCCTCAAAGAATAAGAAATTATATTTCAATATAAAGTTTTTTCCGCCTTTTGTTTTCAAACAGTTGCATTCCAGGAATTTCTGGAAGTTAATTCTTCATGTACTTTCAGACTTTAGCTATTATTTGTATTTAATGGGGCAAATATAATGATTTTCAGAAGGATTTAGAATAATATATATATCTATTTGAAAATCCAGGCATTTTGCATTGAACATAAAAAACACATTTACTGTAACTACACGAATCACATGGATTTCTTTGCTAAACTTTTTAAATATATTAAATAGCAAATATCAGTAATATTGGGTTAGAATTGATGAAACTTCGGTATGTGATTGAGATCATGTTAAACAAGTAAAATCACGTACCGAAGTAGTTTGATGATGCTGAGATCGAACACAAAAGTAGCACCAAACTAATTCAGTACAGCACACTATCCAAATTCCAAGAATTTCCCTCCAAGGAAAGGAAGGAATTCAATGATGACGTTACTAGAGTGCGCATCTTTGTAGTATTTTGCGCAACTTCATTATACTGCATTATTACCGATATTGAGGGATAACAATGTCCAGACGTCTCCCAAAGAAAGGGTGTCTGATCATCTGTAAAATGAGTTTCTCTGAAACGGGACAATGTCACCCGATTTGTATAGTGTGCTGTACTGTAATTCTGAACGAAAATTTATTTCATTCTTGCCATCTCTTGTCTCATTTTATACAGCAAATTCTGAAGTTGAAAGATATTCATCAATATTTAACAACATCATTCGACCTTCTATGAAATCACCTTAAAATTGGCCAGAACTAACTTAACAATGTAGACTACTTTGAAGAAATGCAAAATTTGGACACACAAAAAATAAGCAATAGTCGGGTCTCATGTACTTTCTTATCTGAATAACTTCTAGTGGGCGTGGCGTAACAATTTTTGGATATATGATTCCTGACCCCCCAAATTACGTCACTGGCTACTCTCAGACTCTTAACTCAGCTGTCTTCTCGCACAAACTGATTATAAGGCATTTCCCAGTCAGATCTGTCAGACTGTGCTTCAAATTGCAGATCACTCCATCCTGCCATCACTTTACAGCTTTAATACAGTTGATATCGTACCGTACCGGTATGCTGTCTGATACCGTTTG